GGAATGACTCCAAACAAGTTATAAGAGTCACTCTTTATTACTAGTATTAATGAAATTGAATTTGGCTCTCCTTGCATGTGCCATTTGGAATAGTTTATTTTTCACATGAGGTTTGGCAGGGATTTCTCCAAAATAATTTCCCTCCAAACCCACCCCCAAAAGCCAGCCTGTAAATTTCAAAATCTCTCTGCTTAGTTTGAACAGCTCTTTAGAATACACCCCAATCTCAAACCTTCATTCTACATAGATAAGTAGTGACCATAAAAACTTCTTGATTGGTAAATTAATCATACATCTTCATAAAAAAAGTTTTATATAGTCAGTTGATATTTCAATAACAATTCATAAATACTTCCAATCCATGGTTTTCAAAGTAGCTATCCTCTAAGTAAGTTATTGTTTTGTTTTTGGTTGTTTCTGTGTTGTTTTTTTTACAATTCAATGTTTTCTACTAATAGTCTGTGGGCTCAGTAAGTCTGGAATTCACAGCAGTTTCTGCTATATGGTTTCACATAGTACATAAAATTGCCAGCTTCTCCCATTGCGCTAGAAGACAGGAATGTTATTATTCTAGAAGTTGGAATTTTGGTTTCTAACCATGGTCCAACACAAACGTCTGTGCATTTTAGGAACCTAACTTATTTGAAATGCAACATCCTGAACCTGGAATTAATTGATCATGAAAAGTACAAACAGGTCCTTATTCATCCTGAAGCAAGCGTAGAACCCTTTGACACATTATGGAAAAATAATGCAGTTCTTAACGCTCTTTTTTTTGTTCTGGTTGATTTTTAGGCTTGGATACCTGCCAGGCACACAATAAAGTACTTGGCCTTTAACACAGACAGGCATGATTCTTCTTTTGTACTCTCAACTGGGAACTGACAAGACTCAGTGCACTACAGATTTGTTTCAATCAAAATGTTCACGGCTAGTATCCAGAAACAGGTTTTCTTTTATCTTTAGGTTATTTATCAGTTTTCAAATCAGATCTGCAAATAAGAAAATGTCTTTTAGAACCATTTAACATAAGGTTTGGTACATTAAAGCTGATGTGGTCACTAACAGGTGAAGAACTATTTGCAATGTGGTCAGTGTTACATGCAGTCCTTGAACGTACATTAAAAAAAGATAAAGTTTCAAGGATTTACTGCCACCCTGAAGGAAAGAACTGATGTTTTAAGTAACTGGATTTGTACAACGTCTGTAAGACAATCCAAGTAAATCCTCAAATAGATGATTAATTCCTCATTATTTAAATGCCCCTAAATACAAGTGCAGATGCTAACTTCACGGCTTTATCTTGACAGCTCCTTCTTTATTTCTTATGATCTCTAGTCTGTGACTCTAAAGCTCTGAAAAAGAGCACTCTGCAAAAAAGCCCTCCAACTCCTAGGGAGACTGTGCAAGTTCTTGCAGCTTATTGCTTACGTGGCTCTCTCGGGTTCTGACTGGCACTGCAGTACCTGATAATACCACATAAACATACTATGTTTCTTTCTGTAGACCCAGATTAGGTTTGTGTAAGACATGTTCATGAGCGCTTTCACTATGTGATGCCCCACTAAGGCATACGTACGTATGCAGATGCCTAAACTCTGTCTTGTGCTGATGCTTCCCAATACACCCTAGCTGTCAGAAAATTTTAGGGTGCTCTCATGTCACACTGACAACAAGCATTCATTTTCCTAGAAGGTATTTATACTTATCATCAGCCTGTCCCTTGGTTAACTAGCTGAGGTTTACTTTAAGCCTTGTGTTCCACCCTACAGAATTTGGCTTATCATTTATCCAGTTATAAAGCTGAAAGAGGGGCGGTGGGGGCAGGGAGGAGTCCAAAGGATGCAAAACTCAACAGCAAACCAAAGCACGAAGGAACTGGAAAAGAATTTCAAAGGATCTGGCTCTATAGCACAGACTGTGCTATATACATGTGTCTGTTTATGGAGACACACTAAACTGAATTATTCAGTTACTTACGAAAAGAAAAAGAACAGACTGTGGAGAAGGGAGAGCAGAATGAAGGCGCAAGAGAGCAAAAAATTAATCCAGCAACAGATGAGAAGAACAGAGAATTGGAAAATGGCTGCAGTGGGGAGGAACGGATGATGAGAGAATAGCAGGCCTATTTAAAATGAATTTTTGACCTTATTTTTAAAACATTTATGGATCCCAATTGCCTGTCATGAGATCATTTTCCCTTACAATGCTAGCTTTTCAGCCGGCCCTGCAGTTTAACTTGATTTATCCCACTTTAAAAAAGTAGATTGTTAGAAATACCCCTTCTATTAGAAATTCTGTCCCATTACAGTGTCAGCTAAAGGCCACTTGTCAATGTCAGCTTTATCAGATAGAAATTTGCCTCATGAGTTCTTGGATACTTTTTTGGAGGACAAGACCCAGGGTCCATTTCTGAGGCTGTTGATTTGCGACGGGATAGTGTCTTCTCAAATTATCCTCTGCTATTTCCCAACTTATCTGCAAGTTTCATGAGATGGTGGGAAGCGATTACAGCAGCTGCTGTACATTAGAAAGACATCTTATATGAAAGCTGGCTTAGGTAAAACAGCTGACTGACAAAAGCACAGAAAGAACTAATCGAGTATTAAAAATACATAGGGAGATTCAGCATCTCCTTTCCAGCTGCAGCTTCCCTGGTGCCATAACCTCCTGTGGGAAGGAAGAAAACTTACACCAGAAGGTTTTCCTCCTCCTCAGCTGTCTGCCGACTCCTTAAAGAAAGACCTGACATCCTAAAGATTAGAGTAAGTTTTTATTTATTTACAATTACGCAATTAGTCATCAGCATGTCTCTTCATTGACGAGTAAAGGTGGAGAAAATCAGCTGTTATTCAATCTGTGTTACCACAGTACTGCTGAGGATCAGCAGCCTGAGGTGGGAAAGATTACATAGCTTATAAAATATCCTGAAGACTCTCCTGGCAAGATGCTTTGAGACATTTGTTGTTTTTTTTTAATATTTTGATTCTATTTTTGTTTATTCTTTTCTGTCTGAATGGATTGATGTAACATAGGTATTTTAAGGGTAAAACTACATGTCAGAGTAGAAATTTCAGCCAGGAGTTGAAAGAGAGCAAGCTGGGGCCACAGTATTTTCCAGACTGAAAGACACTGCCTATAAAAGCAAGGCTGGATGGATCAATGGATGATATTGTTGCAGTGAAGAGACCAGAAGTCTTTGAAATTTGTAAACCACTTCCACAAGAGGAACTGTTGCAGTAACAAACTTCAGAGTACTAAAGCCCTCAATGTAAACCCTGATTTTTGAGCAGACTGCCATTCATCACAACAAAAGCATTTAAAAATATTCTGCATTGGAAGGGCAAAAAGAAACAATCCTGGTGCCACTATTAATAATCAGTTCAAGATTGAGATACTTAAAGCTCCCTTTCAGGTGCTCTGATTAAGAACTTGCCTCACAGGAAAAGCAAAGCTTTGGACATCAGTAATCTCTGGGCATTATACCTAATAGGAAAGGCTTAAAAAGGATTACCTAGAAGAAACCTTTGTGAATCTTAGGAAACTACACTGGACCATAAATCTCAACCTCCTCTGAGGATTAATAAAGCTTTATCAGTTTCAGATAACAAGTAGAAATCCTCGGGCTGTTGAAGAGGTACTACTGACGCAGTCTGGGACCTCTGTCAGGACACTTAACATGCCATACAATTTCAAAAGAAGGACACATTTGATGCATATTTTCATCTTAGTTTACAAAAGCCATTCAGAAGAAGAACGGCAGCTACATAGATTCCCAAATTTGGGTCACAAGATTTAAGGCAGTAGATTAAAGTTAACTGCTCTAAGTAAAGAATTATTTTGCTGAAGGTGACACTTTTGGTAACCGAATCAGAATAATACATACAACATTTTTTGGGTTAATGAACAAATATATATGATAATTTAAGTAAAAACACCCTTTTTAACTCGCTCTCCGTAATTGTAATAAAGTCTACTCTTGTATAGGATGTTTTTTGGACTACAACCCCAATTATTGAAGATTTCACTTCAACATTCATACTAATAGTTTGGAGGACATTAAAACCAATGTTAGTTCAAACTTCAGGTGTATTTATGTTCTTAAGATTTTAACATAATTCTGTCTCTTTTTAAACTAAAATTTCAAATTTAGCATAAACTGCATCTTATCAAAGGTACATTTTTGAATGCTGGTTGATTGTAATTACTTCTAAAGAGACAGAGTCCAACTCTGAAACCTGCTCAGGTGGAGCTCAAGTGCCACAGTTGTGATCCATAGACTATAGCTGTTGCATTTATTTAACGCATTCAAAAATCTGGCACTCTTGATTTAATCTCTGCTTCTACCATAGGTTACTCTTCAGTAGTGAGGTAAATAGTACGTCTCTGTGTAGTGTGACTCCTAGATGTAAAATAGAGAACACAGCTTCTCTGAAACTGTTCTATAGTGTTGGGTTGAATATTTTAAGGTCCTTTGATGGCAGAGGAGCAAATTATTCTATTTTTCACTTTATAAAAGTTACTGAGGATGTATCATGGCCAGATTGCTACTGTCCAGTGTGCAGAAGGAAGGGCAGGAGCAGACATGCCTCTGTTTCCTTCCTTTCACTTTGCAGCTAAGCACGGTGCGAGTCTGCTCTTCTTACGCTTTCATTAACCCAGAGAATCACTGGACGAACTGCCAGAGTACCAGAAATCC